CTTTGCCTGATGTCCAGATCAGTTGTAGGACATCACCACACTTTGAACGCGGCGCATGACATGGATGGGGTGTCTTATTATGCTGGTCTGCAGATTTCTCAGACACTCGGGCTGTAGCGTAGAAGAGTCGGCCTTCGAATATATTTTCCGCCTATGATGATGTATATGTCCTTGCTGGCCCAAAAGCCAATAACCAACCACCGTGAATAGGTGCCTATATTGGGATATATGAGGCGCCAAACTGCAAACCTCATGAATATAAATGATTATTATGGTACAGAAGTGTATATCCCGTTTAATCCCATGTTACGCAGGGTACGGAATGTCTAAGTAATATATGGGGAACATGGTCGGAATGTGAGCGGAAGGCAGTTAATACCACGACATCCCCTAATCCGGCGGAATGTGGTGGGAACACGCTGGGAATGCGGCGGTAATGTGCTCATCCTCTCCTTGTTCCCCAACCTCCGTAATCTGGCGCTTCACGCGGTGTCCCGCTTTCGAAGCTCTCCACGGAATTGGCACTATAACACTTCCGTTCGGGAAGCCTTGCATCGCCTTTCTGGAGCTCACCTCGCGCTTCGGCCTTCGTTACGGCCACCATTCGATATCGACCGCTTGCTCCCACAGGCGAACAACATCGAAAGCAACGCAAGCTGCTCAACTCCATCTTCTCCATCGCCCACATGCGTCTCATCTCATCATCGACGAAGTCTGTCTGATAGTGGGTCTGTTTCCTCATCCACTGGCTTGTCCTAGGCGCCGACGGACCTGTCCCTATCACCGCTGCAGAACGCTCTCGACTCGCGCATCGATGGGAACGACACGGTCGAGACAGACATGCTGACGTGGATGGACCGCATCGCCCTCGACGGGACTGGGTCATTTGTTCGACCCGCTCGTCACAGACAAAGCGTCAGGACGAACTACGCGAGCGCAATCAAACTGTTCCAGTGAGTGAGCATTGCCAATTCTCGCTATGGCCTGCCACGCACCTATGTTGCAACTAAGTAGGCCTATGCAGGCGGAGGTGCCTGCTACGCCGCCTCGTGCCCTACGTCAGCGATCTGGGCCCGCCCGCGATCTGCCGGTGGCTCCTGGACATGTTCCCCCACAAAGGCGTGCAACAGCTCAAGTCGATCGTTGGCGTGATGCATGAGCGGTCCCTCGAGATCTTCCAGCTGAAGAAGCAGGCTCTGGAGCAGGGCGATGAAGCCGTCGCCCACCAGGTTGGCGAGGGCAAGGACATCATGAGTATTCTACGTAAGTCTTTTTAGATCCCATCGCCACCAATCAAGGTTGGACATGTTGTACCTATCAGTCAAGGCAAACGTCGAGGCATCGCAGGAGGATAAGTTGCCGGAGGAGGAGATCCTTGCCCAAATGTCGTAAGCGGCGAATGATCAGCTCGACACCCCAAAACCACGCTAACTATTTATTGGTCAGCACATTCATCCTAGCGGGAATGGACACTACCTCCACTGCAATGTCCATCACGCTCACCATTCTGTCTCAACACCCGGAGGTGCAGAAAAAGCTCCGGAACGAGATCTTGGAGGCCTCCAAAGGGGAGCCGCTTGAGTACGACGCCCTCGTCTCCCTTCCCTACCTGGACGCAGTCTGCCGGGAGACCTTGCGTCTGTGAGTGATGTTGTCCTGTACAATGAACATGAACCGTACGATTGATGGCGATGACCAGCTACGCCCCCGTCGCTCAGGTGTTCCGCGAGTGAGGACCGCGTAGCGTGTTCTCGTTCAGTCGTAGATGCTGATTGTTCCCGTCCCGTATGAAGGACTCGAGAGGACGTGGTGATGCCTCTATCGCACCCTATCCGAGGTGTGGACGGCAAGACGATACACGAGATCTTCGTCCCTAAGGACACCGTCGTCGCCGTCGGTCTCCTCGCGTCCAATCGCAACAAGGCCATCTGGGGCGAGGATGCAGAAGAGTGGAAGCCCGAGCGTTGGCTGTCGCCCCTGCCCGGAAGCGTCACTGAATCCAAGATTCCAGGCATCTATTCAAACCTGTACGTTTCCGAGTCGTCACTTCGGCTGCTGTCAGACGCGTCTCTGCGGAATTGCTCACCGCTCCGTCTGCAGTATGACTTTCCTGGGAGGTGGTCGCGCTTGCATGTAAGACACCACGTCCGATCGTGATTGGCATCGCTTACCGTCTCTCATACTCGCAGTGGATTCAAATTCTCGCAGCTCGAGATGAGTGAGCATTCGGTCCTACTAGTAAATCCTTGCAATCGCTGACATATTGTTTCGCAGAGGTTGTACTGTGTCTCCTTCTGTCGAAGTTCACATTCGCACAGTCCGACAAGAAGGTGAATTGGGTCTTGTCTGGGGTCCGTTTCCCGATCGTAGGCAACAGCCCGAAGCCGTCAATGCCTCTGAAAGTAGGGCTGTACAAGGGGCCTGTTCCTGCATAAGTAATAATTCCTGTCACGTAACAATGTCGATAGCGATCAGCCTCTTGAGCTGCACCTTCCTGCTACCTCGAGCCAGTCAAGTTGCTTACCTCGCTTTCGAAACTTCGCCTCCAGCGGTGCTTCTGACGCCCCTGGTGATTTAGCAGTTGTCATGCAAGACGCTATTATGAAGGGGCTGATGCGATGATGGGGTCCACTGCGATCATTTCTCAGGGTTTCACAGCATGGGAGAAGTCCATCGAGTTCAGATATGAGCGCCTCCCAGGACACCACAGCTCTTCGGCTTCCTCTGCATACTTCGCGATCGGCAGACGTGGGCTGACATGTTCTCCGACGATGACGCACCGCTGTTTGGAAGATTAGAGTCAACGACGTACCCAGGCCTTTGCTATTGGCACGATCGACATTGCGAGTGCTGCTTCTCCGATTGACAAGTGCAGAGGCTGACATGGTGGTCGCTCCCCAGATCCTCCGCCTTCCATGTCAGCCTCTTGACCAGGTTAGCATATAAACCGACTCGAGGTCGAGTGCTTGGCCTTACCGCTTTCCACCTGCTTCCATCGCTGCATACCTGCTATCGTCGCTCTACACCTGCTATCGTCGCTCTACACCTGCTATCATCGCTCTATACCTGCTCTCATCTCTCTGCGTCGACTCTTGTCTACTTTTCCATCGCCGTGACCTCGTTCTGCATCCGCCCGTATCCTCGCTTCGCAACATAAACAATTTCAAGATGGACACAACAAACATATATAACGCATGGGAGTCATTGAAGAGGTCCGCTCGCAAGTTCTGGGTCCTTCCGGGTCCCGTGCCCGTCGCCTTGTACTCCTTCAACCCTCGACGTGTGTCCCCGATCCTCAAGGACGACGTCAAGAACTTCGTGGCCGACGTCCTCCAAGTCGATCAAGACAGCGACGGTGTCGAAGTTCGAATTGACCGGCATACCTACGATTTGACCAAGAAGGTGAGCTTCCTGAACCGCTACTGGCCAAG